AAGACGATTTAGGAATATCTATATCTTTTTAATAAGTCAATAAAAATATTACGAAATTTCTATTTTCTTCCTGTTCGTTATAATTTCAGAAAAAAGTTTTTATTTCGCACAATAGATCCGCAGTCTGCTCATTACGAAAGCGTTGTTTTTAGTTGGCGAATCGTCAATGGGTTATCTCGAATAATATAAACCTGTCATCGAAAAGTTATTAATTAAGCCCGGAAAATTTGTATCGTATTTATCGAAGACCAAGAAATTCGAGCAGGAATATCTTCTACACGGGAGAATCTTAAGATCTAAGGATCCAAACACGAGAACTACTAGATCCAGGAACCCAAGAGACTTACTTCGGACATAGACTCTCGAGTCTATGTGCTAAGATTAGGTTTTCAGGCTTGGGTTCTCGAATCGAGGAAGGAAGAGTCTTTCAGTCCTAAATCCTTAGATCCATCGTTGATCTGTAGATGCAGGGATCTACTGATTTAGATCTCCGACTGCTGTGACGTTCGCCTTTATATCGTGCGACACACCCGGTAAGTACTTGTACAATTAAATATATATCCACTATATTAACTATAATAGTAAATTATTCGTTAATTCTGAGCCTTTTTTACTCTGACCCTTTAAATATAAAATAATTTTTCTAACTTATAGTATTTCTATTTTATACGATAAAATGCATTTTATGCATATGAAATTCACTCTGAGTCGCCACTCGAGTGCAAAGGGTTAAGTCTGTAATGAAACGCGTTCAAGTTACGGTAGAGGAGATCTGGAAGATTTTTTGAAGAATTTTGCCGAATACCATGGACGGGCGAAAAATTCCCCGGTCCAGATCGAGGTAACCCGTTTAAAAACACATTCCTCCGCGGACCAGGTGCTCTACATCTCCGTTTCGTCCTTTTGCCATCGGAAAGCTGTCAGGCACAGCCACTTTCTTATCGCACCGCTGATCTTCCATAAAACAAGTCGGGAAAGGGGATGTCCATCGACTTTTCCTCCCCCTATTGCTATGAGTTGCCAGCTTCCCCGCGGTATCCGATAGTTTTTTCCTGCTGTTTTCGTGTTTGTTAAAAATGATCGCGATACTACGGCGGCGAAACTTCCCGTGTCATCCACGGTCCGACTCCCCGTTTTTCGTCGACTTAACTTTTCCGATCAAAATACAGATAGAGCGCCGAGAACGAAGGAAACCTCGCGGGGAAACAAGCTGGATATCAAACAGCGAAGACGTTAAGGCAAGCAATCTTCCCTCCTGTTTTCTATCCGAATCGTTCCGGGTCGTAGCCGTGATACTGTTTCGATTGAATCTTCGAATGCTACTCGCTGCTTACGTTCGGGAGATAATCACAATTCGAACGTGCGAGACAAACGCTGACAAAACGTTTTAATCGCAAGAAAGACAATTTGTTGCTGAAACATACAGTCTGGTGTGCGATTTTAGCGGTATTCGAATTTTCAAATGTTTTAGGCTTTTTTGGTGAATGTAGGCACGTTAGAATGATTCATATTAAATTAAAAAGTGTAGCAAACAATGAGGATTGGGATTTCGTTGAAGTTGCTACTATTTTTTATTCTTCCAAATTCACAGTTTCAAGAAAAGAGATGGAAATAATAAAAGCAAGCGTATGATGGAATATTCCTTGTAGAATTCTGAATTTATTCATAAAAACTGTTTATTGATGTAAATTCCATTATATAATACCTTTTTACATCTCTTCCAAAGAAGGATTTAATGGGAGAACAAGTTTCAAGAAGTGAATGAATCAAGTGTCTTGCAATGTTAAAGAATGTCAGACAGTATTTTTCCGCAAGATATAATGCAATAAGGAAAATTGTATCCATTTTTAATAGAACTTCGTATTATTACTTAATAAAATCTTATATCCCAGAAAATATTATTATCTTTATGTTAACTTGTGCGTTTTATTTATTTTTAACTCATCCACATAAGTTACTTAAGTTCGTTATTAGCAAACAGTGCAACAGACATTTTTATGCAAATACTAATATTTCACAAATAATTTGACGAAAATCAAAATGGGTATCGTATTTAATTTATCGTCTACAAAATTTCGTTCCATAAATTATTTCACATAAATCAAAATGACAGGCAAATTCATTATATATCATCTAGAAAATTTCATTACATACGTTACTTTACGGAAATCAAAATGAGAAACAAATTTAAATTACCATCTACACAATTTCTTACCCTGAAACCAAACCTACTAATGTCATTAATATTTGTTTATATATATATATATATATATATATATATATATATATATATATAGGTTTTTTTTTTTTTTAA